AAAAGGAGTGCGGGTACCATTTTAGGAAGCAAAAGGGGTAGGTATCAGAGTGAGATGCTGCTTGAGAGTGAAGTTCCTGCCTCCTATTTTGCTGACAGTTGCGCTACCTATACAGCTCTTAAAGTAGCACACGCATGTGAAGAACATCAGGAAATCATGAGTCTCACTAAACTGTTCTGAGCAGCCATCTCTCACCCCTCTGTTTCTCCATAACAAGACTGAGGCTGTCAATCCCACCCAAAGTGACATGCCAATAGACATTTCACATTGTTCTGAAGGTGCTTATAACACATTTGTCTTTGACACTGAAATGTGTGTTGACATCTGTGTTTACACAGAAACTATCAGACAGAGAAAATTAGACAACTTTTTCTGCTTAAGTTCTGTAGCAGTGGAGAGGTGTCTAAACCTCCTTTAAGTTCCCAAAGTGAAGTGGCTACTTCTTTCTTTCTTTTTTTTCTCTTTTTTAGGCAGCCAAGGACTGGTACTCTATGAGTATCTATAGTAAGTGTTCTGAGTCTCTCCTCTAAATCTTTATCAAATGTTGGCTTCTGAAACATATTCATCTTTATGAGATACTCTGATAATGTGGCTTCTCAAAAACGTTAACATCTTTGAACATTGTGTTCTTATGTAGATCATAGCAATGAGGTTTACAGAAAGGACATACAAGTGTTAACAGATATACCCACTCTTCCAGTCTGTCAGTGAAATGTTTGGGAAGACCATCAGCTACACCCTGGTCGAATTTTTTTAAAGCCACATTGCAAAAAGTTCTTTGCTTACATGCTTGAACTATTGTGCCAGCAGATTAATCTTTTATTATTATTATTTACTAAACTCTCTGCTAACATGGTCCTTGTGTACCAGCTGGTGTAGGAACCACGATGTAGGGGGGAGGTCTCATCCAGGTAATAACTCACTTAAAATATTTAATAAATCAGTCTACCTTAGCATCATCGTTTTCCTCCGTGTGCTGCAACTGCTAACACAATAGTCTAGCAGGGGTTGCTTTGCTTCCTTACCGGTCAGCTCTACACCAGGAATTGGATGAGGATCATCAAGTTCAGCACCAGGCCAATGTGGTTTCATTTAGTTCCAAGTTTCCATACACAATGTCACCCGAGGACATGTGAAAAGGGAATCTTATGTAAAAGAACAGAGAATTGGAAGAACTAGTAGAAGTGACAGGACTGGCCTTCAGACCAAGATAAATTGCTCTGGCAGTGCTTTCACCACAAACAAAGCTTATTTCTATCTACCCACGCAGTGCAGTTCTGGAACACGCTCCAGCCAGGTCAGGAGTGAAGAGTGCTCTACAACTAAAAGGAAGTTACTTTAAGATGGCGAAAGAGCCTGTGCCAGTCACCTGCTCTGTTCACACACTAGATCTGACAATTTAAGAGTTTCCTGTCGGAGTTTTTTCTTCTTGCTAAATACATTGTCTTCTTCTCTCCTGCATAGATATGCACATTGCTGAAGTGCAAAAGCACAGAGCAGAAGAGCTGCGGGGAGCCTGTGGAGACCGCTCAGACCAAATTTGACATGTTTTCTCTGAGTGGCACGTTTGGCACTAACTACGTCTTTCCAGAGGTCCTGTACAGCGGGGTTCAGCTGGCCCCCGGGGAATTTGAGGTAACGGGATGCTCTTGAGCTGCCTCACATTTGTTTCTCTGTGGCTTGTTAATGGAAGAAGTTGTCTCAGAAAAGCCAAAGAGAACTTGCTCATAGTGAGTTGTCAGATTTATTCAATATCCTCTCAATGGAGACACTGGTTTCAGGGAGCAATGTGGTTTACATAGCTTCTCCTCACCTGGTCACATCTTTGTAAGCTTTTGTCTTGTTCCTATGAGTACTCCTCTATATCTTCTCTTTCTTTTTTTCCATCAGGTGTTGAGTGATGGGCGTTTGATAAGTAAGATAGCACCAACAAAGCCAGTTGTCACTGTGACGCTTTTTGGACGGTGGTATGAAAAGGATCATGTGAAACAAGACCCACAACCACCAGCCTCCCCGTGATGCTATTATAGCTGAATCTGTACACGACTGACATCATGTCTGAATGGGATATGACATCATTGGCTAAAAGATAATTATCTTTCTTAATTCCAGTTGCACAAGCTTCTCCTCAGGGAGATTTGTTTAGCAATAATGCGGCATTTCAACATCTCAATAAGTATTGCTCAATAAGGCCGCAATAATATACCTGCTTTATAGGGTCACTAATCTTTTATCAGTTTTAAATAACATTTTTGGCTCTGCTTTATGGATTTTGATCTTTCTGCCTTGGACAGCTTTTAGTGTAGGCTGGAAGCTTAATTCATCTTTTGATATCATTGCATAATTTTTAATTTTTTATTATTATGAGACCAGCAAGTAAAGCAGTGAAATATGTGTTTCATGATACTTCTATACCGTCAAGCTCTGCCATGTTTTGCTACTGCCCTACAGCTACTAGTACTGACCTGTTTCCTCACCCCACTGTTACAGTTCTCTCCTATTTGCAACATTTTGGCTTGATTGCCCATACACCATTAATGCACCATCTGTGACACCTTTTAGCAAAGAATATTGCATTGTGGAGGCAGATGAGGAATTCCAGTCAGAGAGCCAGTCCTGACGTGTTACCCCTTCCTGACCAGAACTGACCAAGAATCACCATTTTTTTCTGAAGTCTCTGATGGAACAAAACTGCATTTTCTGTCAGAAGACGTGTGCAGCTGTCAAGGAGGACAGCATACTTTTTTGTGGTTTACCAGAGGCTGAAGCTGGTCACTTGTCTTGTGCAGCTTTTAAACCGCCTGCAAAGCTTTAACAACCAGCAGGAGTGACTCTTTGCTGCCTGTTCTGGAAAAGAGTAGCGCATAGGAAAGTTGGAGGGGTATATTGCACCAGCTTGGGTGCTACACCCCAATAGCAGCCCTGTGACATGAAGTTATCATGCAATGCTACGGAAGAGCTTTCAAACGTGAGAGGGGAAAGCCACCACGAACCCTGGTAGGGGCTGCCCCATGTCTTGGAAGTGCCCCATCCCACCTGGTCAGGAGTCCAGGCTTATGTCATTTCACCTTGTCTGGAAAGAGCCTGGGGGGTGGAAGGCTCCTTCAGACATGAAGCCCAGAGCCCTCCGCTAATGGTGCGCACAGAAGAGCACAGAAAGCTGACATTCCCTTAACCCAAGATACCACAAGGTCACAGCCACAAGGCTGGCTATTACCTGGATTGCTGTGCAGCAGCTGGTCTTTCAGAGTCATAGAAAGACCCTCTCCTTCCGTGCCAGCAGTTATTCTCAGTAGGCATGCACACACATCTACAGTTTGTATCTACAATTCACATCTACATGTGGCTGACCACACAGTAAAACAGAGACTTGGCTCAGCTGCCTTGATCCCTCCAAGAGCCAGAGCCAACTCTAAGACCCTTGCTCTCCCCAGCCTCCAGCCTTAAGTCAGCCTCAAAGTCATCTCCAGAGCCTCTTGGCTCACTCACTGACCAAGCTGGCTTGACATTTGCCAGTTATCACACACTGATAATGTGTGATTTGCCAGTTATCACACAGGAATAGGCCCTCACAAGTTCCAGACGTTCCACCTGCCACTTAAAGGCTCCAGCGTGCTCTCCTATCACTATGTTTCCTATCAATGGTTTGTGCACTTCCATCCACACACTGGCACAAAGAATAGAGACTCTCCTCAGCCAGGAATGTGGTTAGAAACAGAGTTTAATGGGAAGACGAAAGTAGTGCCAGGTTGCTCCTTTCTCCAATGAGTGATTTGATTCCTCCTCCTGTCCCTGTTCCTACTCCTGTGCTCTGCTGGAGATGACATCCATTTATAACAGATCCCAACAAAATGTAGTCACTAAGATTTCTTCTGGAGCCTTTTGTCCAGGCCTGGCTGCCAAGGGCTCTAATGTTTTGGCTGCTGTGAGTGTCACCATTTCAGGGGTAACAGGCTCTTTGCGCACCTGCCAGCAGCAAATCCCCTGGCAAGAGGATGTGTGGAGGAGGCTGCAGGGTGAGGGGTTTGCAAGGGCATCTATTACATGAACAGCTCCTCCAGTGGAGCCAGGGGGCAGTGCGTTTACTACAGACTTGTGGCAAAAGCTTGCCCCTCTGTGTGAGCTCTGCCCTTCCTGTAGATCAGGTTGCTTCCTCCCCTTCCCAGGAAGGCACATGGCTTTGTCTTCCCAGGAGGGGAAGCAGCAGCCTCAGCAGTCCTACTTCTACCTTCAAAAACTCCTGGGGTCCTAGTGTGAAACCAAAGCTTTCATCCCCCACAGCCTGATGTGGGCCCCAGCAAGCTCACAGAGAACTTAACCACAGAGCCTGGTGCTCTTCATCTACCAACCATAACGTGGCCCCAGGAGTCACCCAGAGTGATCACACACAGGTTAGTGGCCCAGACGAGCAGGAGGGTATCACTGCACTCGATGTCAAACAGCTCCTCCTGTTTCTGCCCGCAGGCAGCCTCATGCTGCCTGCACACAACCCACAGCTCACTCAGAGGCACCTGGGGCTTCAGCCAGAAGGTGGAGCCATATCTGCACGGGAAAAAAGCAGGGCCTGACTTCCAGGCACATGGAGGCAAATGCGAAGACTGGCTAAAATCCTTTCCCCTGCCCAGCGGTTGCTCTTCTGGTTTACAGGAAAGCACCTGCTGCCTTGCTTTTGCGGCACTGCCACAGCCCGGAGGCACCAGCCCCTGTCTGCTTTGGGACTGCCGCTGGGCAAGCAGTCCCAAGAAGGCCCTGTGTGCTGCAGCAGGGACGGGCTGGCGGCTGAGGCTGTGGTGGGATAGAAGGATGATGGCTTCTCCTCGCCTGGTCACATCTTTGTAAGCTTTTATCTTGTTCCTATGAGTACTCCTCTGTATCCTCTTTTCTTTTTTCCACCAGGTGTTGAGTGATGGGTGTTTGATAAGTAGGATAGCACCAACAAAGCCAGTTGTCACTGTGACGCTTTTTGGACGGTGGTATGAAAAGGATCATGTGAAACAAGACCCACAACCACCAGCCTCCCCATGAAGTTATTATAGCTGAATCTGTACACGACTGACATCATGTCTGAATGAGATATGACATCACTGTTTAAAGGAATCATCTTTCTTAATTCCAGTTGCACAAGCTTCTTCACTGTGTGCTTTGCTTAGCACACCCATTAACTTTAGGATTTTAGATTTCTGCTTAATGTCTTCTACTCCCTGGAAAAAGTAACTGTACATTTTTTAGTTTCCCCTTCTCCTGCCATAGAGACCTGCTCTTTGCTGTGCGCTGGCTGTGACTGGAAGGTTCCTTCAGCCATGTTCAATGTATCTCAGTATGAATCTGTGCATCTGTTTCTGAGCTGTGACTTCTACATGTGTCAGACATCTTCCCACTTTCTTTGTGGCCTTGTTGGCACCACTTCTATTCCCTGCATGTTGCTCTCATGGTCCTCAGCCCCACACACTGCAGATAGGCCCCAGAGATATTTGGGGAATGCAAATGTTGCTCAGACTTCAGTGTTGAATGTCACTGCAGAGCACCATACAGCTCTTTCTATTTTTAAATGTAAATAGACATTCACACAGGAAATAAAATCTCTATGCCATATAAGTGTTTATGAAAAGCCATCTTCCTAACCTCAGACAATGCTCACATGACTTACAAAAGATCAACATCTCTGTTGCTAGGTTTATGATCTCTTAATACCTTGTTCAATGTTGGAATTAGTCAGTGCTTGACCAAAGGTTAACCTCATACCAGCAAGGGAGTGTTCATTCAAATGCTCTTCCTATCAGTCCAAACTCACTGCCAATACTGTGCTTGTCCTCATGTTTTTGGGGTCAAGAACTTAGTGTGTCGGAGTGCAAGGCACTTATGGGGAGAAGGTCTGGATTTAAGGGAGATTATGGTGCAAGGAGGAAATGGGCACTGAGATTTCACTTTGCCATGAAGAAGGGATGGAACGAGAGCACACTGCCAGCATGGGAGCTAGGAAGCCTCTCCTTTGGGCCTGGTCACTCTAGCTACAAGCCTAACAGAATGTGTGTGTAAGCTGCATTGTGAACCCACACCCCATATCCAGTGTGTCTTTGGAATTCGTTTTGTTTCAGCATTTTTGATCTGGTTCAAGATCACTGCTGTCTCATTTTGGGTTTATCTGTATGTTGAATGTTTCTCTTTAGAAGACAGGCACAAGCCAACATTGCAGTGAATTCCTTTTACTAGAAAGATTGCATAACATTTATCATTGTGAAATGTGTTATTGTGTGAAGTGAGTCAAGCATGCAGAAAGCAATCATGCAGAAATCTACCCAACCATCCACATACCAAAACACTGTATATAAAGGCAAGAGTGCACATAACCAGTGATAACAATGAACACTTCTCTCAGCAGTAGTGAAGCAAAGAGGAACTAAAGAAGGTAAGAGATTTGCGCAACCTGACACAAGTCACCATTGTGCACATGCAGCTTTAGCTTTAAGATTTCTGGCAGCAGTGATCTGCAGCTGTTGCTGATGGAGGTTGCAGTAGTCAAAATTTAGAAATGATGATTCCCATTCATCACGCTGTTCCAGCAACAATATTTGGAGATCTCTTCAGGGCTCAGTCACTGGATGATGTGCTGGTGGATTTGCTTGGGCAATAGCTGCCTGATATCCCGACTGCTATGCAGAGCTGGCCCTTAGCCCCTGCGGCCCTGAGCTGGCTCTGTGCTGAGGGGGCTCGGACTCTGCCAGCAGTTGCACAGAGCTCGGGTGAGCTGCCTGCCTCTTGATGCTGTCTGCAGGAATTTGGCCAGGTATGTGTCTGCAGTGTTTTTTGTGAAATAGCTCAAACTCCTCTGGCTCATTTTCCTGCTGTGACCTGGGCTTGCCTTCAATTCCCCTCACTCTAGAAATTCCTGTATTGCTTTGGTCCTGTATCCACGCCTACATCCTTCTTAAATCCAGCCGGTGATGAGTTTCTTTAGCTTCACACAGAGGTGCCTGCCCTGCCTGTGCTGTAATGCAGAATTGCTCGATATTTGTGACTCCTGTTCTCGATGCCCTGCGACTTTCCAGGCATGATGATTGCATCACTCGCTGTCGGCCTTCTGGCACTGTGGGGAATTTTCAGTTTTGTGCAAGACTTTCCCTATTGAGGTCCCCCCTTCTTTCTTGCCCCGTCCTTCTTGTGAGTGACTTCCAGACTTCCAATATGGGGTTTTTTAAAGCTCATGCCTCTGCTGTGTTTTTTATCCTGTCTGTTCTGGAGTCCTGTGCCCTGGACAGCTGTCTATGAGCACAATGTCATCTTGTCAGAGGACACTGAAATACCTGTTTCTCCTAAGGGTGACTTCAAAACAAAATAATGTTTCCGGGTGAAATTACACAGTAAAGAGGCAGATATTGTTGAGATGATAAATATTTCCCTTGATTTCTTATCGAACAGTAAATATCATTAGCCCAGTTATGCTAGTTTACCAATACAGAGATAATGCAAGACCAGAGATACAGTTCTAATAGAGGATCTTTTATGACAAAAATAAAGAGACTATAGTAGTACTGTGCTATTTGCAGAACAGTCACTGCAAAATTTTCATATCAAAAATTAATAAAAAGTTAGATTTAATGATTTTTCAGAAAGCAGTTAAATATTTCAGTTCTATGACTATTTGCCTCCTCTCTTGCTTCCAGCTGACCTCTCCCCAACGCTGTGTGGGCAATAACCACCAGTAACAGTCATGATGGCTGCATCCGGTTGTGACGGTGCCATCCGGCCATTCGACTCTGGGGAGGCAGATAGTAGTCAAGGGATAACTGAGCATGTGCCAAATAAAACATGCCTGGTATGCAAATATGAGTTGATCATCTTACCCCATAAATAGGGACAGCCCAGAGCCTGCTGAGCTCTTCTTGCATGGCAGCATGCTGCATGCCTGGATCCCCTCTGGAGTAGGGACGTCTCCAAAAGTTATTCCTTGAGGTCGAGAGATTCCTTATCTGCAGAACATCCTTGGTAAGTGATTAATAGCATGGTGAACCTTTGCAAACTTGTTTAAGTTGTACCTCTGATTCATTGTGCACATAATCTTTTAAATCGACCAAGCCTTAGGCTTGCATCCAGCTGCACCCAAGATTTCTCTCAGGAGTTTGGAAAGGAAGGGTGTCCATGCTCAACCTCATGGCTCCACAGGAGGATCTCCTTGATGATTTTGTCTGACCCTGTCCTCTAAGTAGTAAATAACCAAGTATGCCTTGCCATTGAATCTTACTAAACCACTGTCTATGTTCTCAATAAAACATATTGCTGCTTCTCTTTTAGAGTGAAGTACCTCACTCCTCCGTGACAAGGGCTAGACATAAAGATTAACAGAGTTCAAGGCTTAGTGTAGTTGATTATGAATGTGTGAGGGATTCAAACTTCATAAAACATGCACTTCAGGGGTGGTAAATCCAACATTGCTGTGCCAAAACACACCATAAAAATTTATCTCAATGTCTATTAAAAAAAAAAAGCACATTGTAAAAGCGTATTGAAATTGTTGGCAGAGGAAAACATGAAAACAGAATTTGGACCACTCTTTCTAGTCACATGTTTGATAACTTCTTTCTGTATTGACACAAGGGGGGAATTTCCAGCAGTTTTGTGACTGCCTATTTAATAGCCGGTTTTCAAGTATCTTGAGCTGCGATATCCTTACCGTGTGATGTATTTTCCTGTTTGCCACCACAGAGGTAGCCAAAGCTTTAACAGATTGGCACTTTGACCTTTCTTTAAGCTAAACTTTACATTTTTCCTTTATGTGTGTTCCTTTCCTGCGTTTCTGTGTTTTTGTGACTTTTCCTAGGGACAACAAGGCCCCAGCCATGCTCGCTTTGCAGCCGCTGGCCCAGGCCGTGGTCGCTGCCCTCCTCGTGCTCCAGGCCGCCGCCTCGGAGCGCTTCACGGCGGCCGTGTACGAGCACGCGGTGATCCTGCCACCAGCCGCCATCCAGCCTCCCTCTGCCGAGGACGCGCTGGCGCTCATGGACAAGAACATGGACGTCTTGGAAAGGGCCATCCAGGAAGCCGCCCGGCAGGTACTCCATGTCCTCGCAGCGCTGTCAGTTTGTGCTTCCCCTTCTGCTGATTCCCCTGGTTCCCTGAGCGCTGGTGACGCCTTAACGGAGCCTGTCCTGCCAGGGTGCCCACATCATTGTGACTCCTGAAGACGGCATTTATGGCTGGCGCTTCACCAGAGAAAACATCTACCCCTACCTGGAGGATATTCCTGACCCGGAGGTCAACTGGATTCCCTGCACTGATCCCAAAAGGTGATTTATGTGGTTCCAAACTAATGTCTCACAGCCAAGTCAGCTGCTCTCAATAACTGTGTAAGGACTGCTATTTATTTTATCTTTTAAAAATCCTAAGTGCTTTATAAACAAACCTCATAACAATGATATCTTAATTAAGTGGGCATGTGCCGGGTAAAAAGCATTGAGGCAGCCTCACTTTTAAAATTTGGGAAAGGAGGGAGAGGAAAAAAAGGAGGAAACTTTAGCTGAAATAATTATTTTTTAAATGTGTAAGAACATGTAATGTGTTTAAAACATGTGACGGACAGTTATTGTATTAATAATTTTGAATGCTTTTCTTTCACACCCATAATTAAATTTCTTTTTCTTTTTTTGGTTCTCTTTTATCAAAAACGCTTTAGATTTGCTCCTGCTCCAGTGCAGGAACGACTCAGCTGCATGGCCAGGAATAACTCTATCTATGTGGTTGCAAACATAGGGGACAAGAAGTCATGTAATTCCAGTGACCCCAGCTGCCCCAGCGACGGTCGCTATCAGTACAATACAGATGTTGTCTTTGACTCGGAAGGGAAATTAATAGCACGTTATCACAAGGTGAGGATGGACTTTTGTATCAGCATCTTACTGATTATCTTTGTATTTTTCATCTCTCTGGCACCAGTTTTAGTAGTTTCATGCAATAATTTTATGTGAGTGTAGAGTAACAACCAATCCAGTATGATCCAGTGCAAACATCTTGTGGCCAGAAGGAAAAACAGGCAAGAACATGGTCAACTTGTCATGATTCCCAGGAGTACCTCATCTGCAGGAATCATGTGTGATATATATAAAAAATCAAGGTCTACATATGTGATAGTTAGCTGAAAAAGGCAGCAGCTTTCTAAACGCGTAGATGGTTAGCAGGGTGCTCACCATGGTGCTGCCTGGGCAGCGTTTGGGAGCGGGAGGCCAGGCCCTGAGGAGCGTTGGGAGCGCAGCCAGGGCACCCTGCCAGCGCCCACCCTTCACCGCGACGCAGCCGTGGCCCTCGCAGCCGCACGATGCGGGATGCCCGTGCACAGCCAGCCTGCCACCCCCCTGGGCATCTCTATCTCGGCCTGAAAAGGGAGATTTCAGTGACTATTAGAGTGACAGACCCTGAATTCTTCTTTAAGGCAGTTTTAGACACAAAAGTAGTTATTTGTAACCTTGTATTATTTATATTTGCTATTTGTAATCTTGTATTATTTTTAATTATTATTCGTCTGTTTCTTGGTCTACAGTATAACCTCTTCAGAGGAGAAACTCAGTTTAATTTCCCCAAAGAGCCAGAAACTGTCACTTTTGAGACACCCTTTGGGAAGTTTGGCATCTTCACTTGCTTCGACATACTTTTCCATGACCCTGCAGTGGTTCTGGTGGATGAGTTACAGGTGGACACTGTGTTGTTCCCAACTGCTTGGATGAACGTCTTGCCTTTTCTGACTGCTGTTGAATTTCACTCTGCCTGGGCTATGGGCATGGGTGTCAATTTACTTTCAGCAAATACGCACAATATCGGCATGGCAATGACAGGTGAGTTGCATTAAGGAAAATGGAAATTATCTTAATGGTCCTGGATTCAGAAGCCATCAAAAATATTTTGCAAATAATAAAGTCTCTGAAAAAATTAAGAAAACTGCAATATTCTTGATATTCTTAAAACTGTATTGAATTTAGTAAATAATTTCAAGCAATAAATGCTAAATGTTCTAGGAGAGAGGTAATTAGAAAGATTGAGACATTACATTCTGATATTTTATATTTTTTTTTCAACATGAAACAAAAGTTTCACTTAAATTTTCAGCCTCACATTGAAACAGACAGAATTTACTAACCTAAAAACAAAAGGGAGGGGTTGTATTGAACAGAATATTTTCAGGATTTTTTTTTATGTTTATTGCTGTTGAAAATTTAGAGATGTTCATGCTTTTATTTGGTATAAATAATTATTTATACCTGTACTTTTTTCTAGAAGCTGAGAAACATTGTTGTAGCTGCATTCTTACCTGACACAGCAGTGAAAGCCACAAAGGAATATTTTTGTCTGATTCTAAGCACACTGAGTTGAGTTTAGGCCAAAGCTCTAGATTTCTTTCTATGAAATGTAATTATCTATCTCTATGATTTCTTTCCTTGGAAAACATGACACTTATGGAGCACTGATTTAGAATTGAGGCTTTCATTTTCAAAAGCCAGTGACACGCATAACCTGATGTTAGTGGTTCTGCCATTTAAAGATTCTTCTAAAATAGTTTTTGAGGCACATTTTATCTGTTGATTTAAAATGTTTTCAAATTTACATGTTAGGAAGCTTTCACAGCTCTGAAGGTGTATCCAGAGTTTCCACACAGCTGCATCATAATTTGTGTGTCATTTGCAGGAAGTGGGATATTCACAGCAGAAGGCCCTGCAGCATATCATTACGACACAGAAACGGAGCAGGGTTCTCTCCTGATAGCAGAGCTGAGCTCGCGGCCCCGTCTTTCTCCTACCTACCCTCTCGCTGTCAACTGGAGCTTGTATGCCACAAGCATCAAAAAATTTCCAGAAGAACAAAACACTTTTACTGGAGCTGTCCGGCGTGATGTATTCACTTTCACTGAACTCACGCACAAAAAAGGAAATTATACTGTTTGTCAGAAAGACCTCTGCTGTCATTTGATCTATAGGATGTCAGACAAGAGTACAGATGAAGTTTATGTGCTCGGTGCATTTGATGGTCTTCATGGTTCTGTCATAAAATATCATTGGCAGGTAATTGTTAAACAGAAGTGAGTATGGGATATATATTCCAGGTGACTGTTAAGACACCGAAGTTCAATTAGCACATGCATTGAATTTTTATTTTATTTTTGAGGAAAACAATGATAAGTAAGTCTTTTAAAACCAGTGTGCACCAAAAGTGCGCAAAGAAACGTGTGGCTTAACTGCATCATTCCAAAGCACTTGTTCATTCCTCCATCATGAGAGCTTTTTATGCTATCGAGTCCAGCTCCTGATGGCTTAAAGCTGAGAGGCAAGTTACTTTACTGTGTCCTCTCTCCCACAGATATGCACGCTGCTGAAATGTAAAAGCACAGACCAGAAGAGCTGTGGGCAGCCCGTGGAGACCGCTCGGACCAAGTTTGACATGTTCTCCCTGAGCGGCACGTTTGGCACTAACTACGTCTTTCCAGAGGTCCTGTACAGCGGGGTTCAGCTGGCCCCTGGGGAATTTGAGGTAATGGAGTGTCATCAGGCTGTTTTATATTAGATTCTCCAGATCTTGGCAAGGGAATGGTAACTGATACAGTGAGAAAGTCAAACAAATCCAAAAGCTACTTTCTTTGATTCTAAGGAGCTTAATTCAAGAGGACTTTTAAATGCAAATGGATTGAGTTTGTCCTTACTGAGGAGAGAGTGCTGAGTTTGAGAATCTCTTGTGTGTTTTCTATAGCAAATATGCATTCCCACTTCAGATTCGAAATCCATAAATAATAGCTTTCAAAGTCTGAGAATGAAAAAACACTTGCTCGTGTCATATATTTGTTTCGAATGGGACTTCTCTAAAAACATGTGCACCAAAAGATTATCAGATACACTATAGTGTGATCATGGCTTAATTACAAATATTTTATGTTTTCTTACCAAATACACGCTCAGTGATTGTCACAAAAACTCTTAAAAGTTGCAGATATGTGTAGTCTCTCTACAATAGTGATTTTAAATTGTTCAGTAAAAAGTACCTTAGAAAATCAACATATGGCCAATAGACTGACATCCTCCGTATTTCCACATGGAAAATGTTTAGGAATCTACAAATCAAAGAAGATTTGAAACTGGTGTTCTGTATCTATATCTACATAGGCAGACATATTTATATATAACATCTGTGTGGCTACGCTTGAGTAACTGATGGAAATTTAACAAATCTGTTCTTATCATTCCTGCCTTCTTATAAGGCAGAGAAAATGCTCTTCCTTACAAAGATGGAGCTGGAAGAAGTTTTAAAGAGCTTCAGATCCAAGGAAGTGTGGAAAAGTCATCGCAGAGCTGAAAACCATACTTTGATTTTCTATGACTTATTTCCATGCATGAGTCAGAGAGAATTTTGGTTTGTTTTATTCTCATGATTGTCTTTGATACTAGAGTGCTGCATGAGAATATTCAGCCTGTAAAGCCTTTCTATACAATGTGATACTGCTACTGTTAGTGGAAAATTAGTTTCATTCTTTCTTTTCTCAACCAGGTGCTACCTGATGGACGGCTGAAAAGTAAGCACAGCTCATCGAAACCACTCTTAACAGTGACCCTTTTTGGAAGGCATTATGAAAAGGATCCACCGCATCCACTGAGAGCCTCCCTGTGATGTAACTACTTGCTTTTTCAACAGTCACTGTCCATAGGATAAGCATTTCCTATCGAAAGCCATCTTGCCATGAGCAGTGGTAGATCCTCTGTGTTATTTCTGCTCTGCAACCTTACACTTGTTCTTAGCAGCTGCAGTAGTTGAGTTTACTTAGGAGAAAGCAATGTGATAGCTATCTTGTGTGTACCTATAACAATGGTAAACATTTTTTAACAGTGATTGAGCCAATGTAATATTTTTTAACAGTGTAGAAATGCTTTGTCACGTGAAATCTTTTTCCAAAATTTCCAAATCTTTTTTTTTTTCAAAGATACACTGTAGGTCACCAGAGTAACGCTGGTCAGAAAGCTGACGGTGAAACATGGGGCTTTCTAGTTTAGTACAAGGAAAAACTTCCCTGAACGAGCCTATTTCTTGTGCTCCTGCTTAACTCGTTTTAAGGCTGTATAAGCACTTAGGGTCTGTATTTCCTCAGCCTTATACAGCAATGAGTAGGACCTTCTGAAAACCCTATGGGCCTTGGCCCCATTCTGGCTGAGGGACTGTATCCTGAGAAGAAAAGCGGATTTGAAATCGTTTTAGGTGAAATCTTAGAGAGAGGAAGTGATGGACACAGGGTTTGAGTCCAGCTGAGCTCTGTAGAAAGCAATGTCTGTTCTGGAGTCATTCTGAGCATGCATCGATAGATACATGGTGCATGCATTCTAGGTTCAATGCATTTCAGATCCAACTTACTGCATAAACATTATAAACTTACTATGTAAATATTATTAAATGTATAAATGTGCTCATGCTGCTGGATGTCTGGAAAAAAATCTCAATATGTAAGGACATAGGGAAAAGACAAGTAACATGTTTGTAGTGTGAGAACTGAGCATTACATAGGACTTCAGCAATGACATGTGAGACTTGGGAGTCCTGAACCTGATGTGTGACTGCCCTATTTGGCAGTAAACAAGCCTAATTTGCAGCACATATCCCTTGGAGTAGCCCTTGACTCAATGCTTGCCCATGGGCTTTTGTGTCTGCTTAACACTGAGCTGCCCCCAGTGTGAAACATGAGAAACACTCTGTGGCTTCCCACCCAATCACACTAACATAAATTATCCACACAGAATTTCTGTTTTCCTTGTGCTGCTGCTTCTCAACACAACTTTGGAGAGTCTTTCTAGGACTTGCTTTATCTTGGATAATGGACCAATCGAGCTTCAGAAGATAAAAATTTGCCTCACCTAGGAGCAATTATTCAAGACATGCATGGCTTAGAAGTCATGATTGCTTCTGGCTTGACCAGTATCTCACCATTTTCTCACCCGACTTGTGGTTGAGACCCAGAATAATCTTTCACCAAGGAGAGGAAGTTTTGGACAAGAGAGAGTATGGTCCACTGGTGGAATTACCAATCCCACATGACTGTGAGGGGTCTAATGAGTTTGAATGCCAGATTTTCAACAAGCAGAGAGACGTGCTGAAGGCTGGGAGCTGACCCCTGCTTTTCAGGGCCAGTTTGGTACACTCCAGCAACCTCTTCTCCCATGCATAAGGGACAGCATGGAAGGGAAAGGGCGAATAAGAATTAGGATGCTGGTTATTCATGTTTCTGCAATGTCATCCCGTTGACCACGATGACTGATCAGTTTGCACTGAGATCAGCACAGAAACATGCATGTATGTCAAAAAGCGTCTCCGAAACTTTGGTCTGGGAACAGCTGGGCAGCCTGCAGTACTTCTCCATCCTTCCTCTGCATGCTGCCCTGTCAGCCATATGGTCCAAGAATGGTAAAGGTGTAGCCATGATCTGGTACAGATCTGGTAAGGGCAAGAGCTTCCCTGACATTTGAACTGAAAAAAAAAATACTGAAAAAGATCTTAAAATCATGAAAACAACGACGACAAAAAACACACAAGCACAATTCTCCCAATTGTCTTGGCCTCAGTGAGGTTAGACTGGGGCTCACAAAGCGGCTCCACTTGTGGAGGGGCTGCTCCTCCTGGAGCATTCTCACGAGAAAGGTAGTCCAGGAGCTGAAAACCCAAGGGAATGAGAGATTGTGTGTAACCAGAGAAGTACCTCCTTGTTCCTCACCTCCATCTCCCACTGGGTTACAATTTAGATAGAATGTGCCTTACCTAGCATTGCTTATAAGAAAAAAGAGAAAGAGCTACTGCATGCAAGTGTAATTTGACTATTTGCTTTTGTTGTCACAGTCAAATCATTTCAGGCATTAGAAACTTTTTACTGATTAGTAGCTACAATTTTACCTGTTAATCTGGGGACATGTTAGAAAGATACCTTACAGATGTACCAGCAGCACTCTCAAAAACAAAACAAATACCTTTTAGGTTGCTGGTATTCTTACTCCCTCAGAATTTCAAGTAAACTCAAATGCACACGTATCTTATAAACACCTTTCTGAAGCTGAAGAGGAATATAGTCAGCAGACCTTGTTTAAACAGAATTTTAGACATGCAGCCTATTATTACTAGATTAAACATGCCAGATAAAACATACATAAAATACCTATAAAGATGGAGTTAGTGAGTTTACTCAAGCTCCCAAGCTTGATAATGAGTGATAATGAAAATGGGACTCCTGAGGAAATAATTCATTTTTAATAAATATTTTCTTTTTATTCAAAGGCAATTTTTTTGCCATGTTATGCCTCCTTATCACTGCTGAGGCTGTGAAAACTGAAATGAAGTCTCTCACACATCTGCTGGGATTTCTCAAGTATGGTATGCTTCCCGGATACAAGCAAAATTGACTCTTTGTCAGACAGAGTTGAAAATAGGTAGATTACAACTGATATTGCTAGTAAAGTAACTTACAGGATATAGTAAAAGGGGCAACCCAGCTCAGGTTACATGAAAAATTAATATGATTTTATGACTGGGCGCACTGAAAACAGAAGTCTATTAAGACAGAAAAAGTAATAGAGCACCTGATGATTTCAGCTGAGTGCAAGGAGCTGCTGGTAACATCAGTACTCATGTAAAGTGTCTGTAGAACTGAGGCTTGCCAGTTATGGGTGGATTTTTCCAAGCCTTATGAAACGCATCAGGAAAGGACCCTCAAGCCTCATCCATTGCTGATGTAAAAGACATCTCTGAAGATGACACTGAAACCAAATGTGAAGAAGAGCTGACATGTAGATTTGAAGAACAGCTGACCTGTTATTTTCCAACATCTGTTGTACAGGTTTCCTCTCTTCAAGAGAACAGTGACGGTGTCATAGAACGGATCACTGAGGAGTTACTTTATCACTTTCCCCTTTCTGATGATAAAACAAGATTTTAATCAAGTAAAGGATAGAATTATGCAGAACATGTATTTCTTTTGCAGGGATCTCACAGTAGCTCCGTTGTATTAATGAGCAAAACCCTGGATCATTACTTCTGGGTGAGGGGGTCCATCAAAGTAGTGTTAAACCCAACCAGATACAATATCTCCAACAGAAAAATTTGGTGGTCACAGTGATTAGACAAAGTTAGGCTCTAGGAAATGTGGGTTTTTAGAAAAGAGAGAACTTTTGAATTATGCCTATTACACAAATATTCAAAATAGAGAAGCAGAGAAAAATGATGAAAATCACATTCGTTCAGAATAAATTCTGCTAAACTTTTAAGAAAATTATCCAACTATGTTTTTAGTTTCCTGCCCAATAGGTATTAGATAGAAAATATACAATTCTATCTAATCTTTTCTTCTCAATAACCCTACCCCAGAAGCTGCTCCAGATGATGTCCTAACAAATCCCATTCTTTTATAAACTGGAAAAGTTTTTTTCATCACTTGTCAATATTTCCTTCTTATACCTTGAATGCTATGCAAGGCAAACAAGTCAATGTTATGGTTGACTTGAGTAAGATTGGTCAGAACTTTGAGGAAATTTTAGCTCTGTGTAAAATTTAATAAATTTTATTGTCTATATTGAATTAAAGCAAGCAGGTCTCAGACCTAGAGCAAAAAGGTACCAAGAAAGCTGTAATTAGCTAATTCTTTTTAAGAGAACAGAACACCACAGCCCTCATTACCTCATTGCCATTAAGTAACACGGAACATCTAGGCTGTGCTATTCTTAACCATGTTAATACAATTCTAAGTGTTTCTGAACAATTCGTGTTATCACAGGTGAATTGCTGGCAGCACTGGACACTCTTCCTAGGTTCGCAAAGTCAGTACAGATACAGTGGGTGATGAACAGGTGGAGAGACCATGACTTGAGTTTGAGTTGAAGAATTCATACGTTTTAATTAACCAAGAAAACTCCACCTAGCCCTAGACAGTGTTTGTAATGTCCATCATCAGTTACAGAGACTGAAAAAGAGTAGACTTTGCTTTTTCTGAATGAATTGAGAAATAATTTGGATAGATCAATAAGGACAGCAGTAGTTGTTGAGGCTCACTGCAGTTGACACAAGAATGCTTCTCAGCGGCTTGTGATGGACTGTCACATGTCATGGAGCCAAACAAGGAAATAATTCCAGAACCTGTCAAAAAGTGTTACAGTAGACAAACAGTGCATCCTGCAGAAGCCACAGATGAGCATAACCGTGTTACCCTGTGTTGACTAGCTAGATCAGCCATAACTAGAAATGTTCAGTCTTGGTCAGACAGAAGCTCAACATGTTGTCAGAATATACTAATTTCTATTTCAGTTTAGGGAAATATTTCAGTTTAGGAAACAATTAAGGAATTAGCAGAAACATTTATAGCTTCCATCCACAAAATATTAAGATACTTCCAGCAGCTCCTCATTGCTACAATGACAGCAAAATACTCTCTTATCTGTTCAATTAATCCCACTGCAGCTGTGATCTCATACTAGAAACACACAGTTTAAGAAATGCATTGTAACTACATGATTTGAACTTTGCCTATTCATTTTCATTTCCTGCTTCTAATATTCATTTTTATGATCTCATAGTCTGGTAGTGTGAGAAAATTGTTTGAGAAGGGAGAAATTAGAGAAAAACCAGGGCCTAAGAGACCCTGGCGTTATGGCGTTGCTTGAGGTGAG